AGAAAGCATAACTCCATAATTATTTTGGTATATAGTTTCTGATGTTTCCCCTTTAAGCATAAAGGGCTTGCTAATACAGTGAGCAGAACACCTGCCCTCAATTTCAAAGAACAGTAATTAAAAGCACCATATCCCGGGGATGTAATGAAAAGTTCTAGGACTTAAGAGAAGCCAAGTACTCATTAAGACCTTTGAAATAAACTTATCAAGATGTGCCATCAACTTTACAAGTGGTCACGTTACACAGATTTGACCAGCAGGAACAAATTAACCTCTGAGTCCTGTGTAAGGTACCCTTTGGATTCAAAATTTTCAGGAAAGAAGGGACTGCTTGTGGAAAGCATTAAATGCTAACATTTGCTTTAACTAAATGAAAGTCCAAACCCCAAACCATGAAGAAACAACATTAATGAAATTTATGATAGTCCCCCAACTACTGACAGCTTTGCTTTATTCAGTGCTTACTTGTATCAGTGAGACTTTTATGTTTGAAGGGCAAGAGTAAAGGATTCAGCTTTTGTGCCTTTCATTTAATATCCAGGGTGTCATTATAAACAGTCAGTCTTCAAAGAGGGAGAAAAAAAAAGAACCTGCCTTCAACAGTGCCTCAGGTAAACCCACCAAAACAAGGTCAATGGTCTGGGGCATTTCTAAATGTATATAGAGGAACACTGCACTTCAGAGACACAGGGCTGCAGGGACTATTCACACAGATAAACAAAAGACTGGTAAGACAGCTAATGGCAGCCAAACTATATATATAGGCATTCATTTTTTTCCTCTTGCCTTTTCTTTTCATTTAGAATGCTTCTTTTTGTTCTGCAGGACAGTGGGATGCTTATGCCCTTTCTCACAGTCCCATTGGCATATTCTGGGCAGCTGATATTTATCTGGGACTGTGATTATGCAGTGCTTCACTGTCTCTTGGGTGTTTCAAAAATGCATTAAGATAAGTCAGCATATTGGGGAAAAGACTGTTCTGTGAGAGATAAACCATACTGTTTCACAGGGGTACATGGATTTGACCATATTGTCCATAAATGAACAGTACAAGTGAATTTATGACTTCAGAGAAAACATGAACACTAAGCTAAAGATGTCTGCAACTGGTATGGGTACAGAGGGAACATGATTTACACTGGAATTTCTCCAGAACTGAGATTATCTCTATACTTTCCATTGTCTTTATGATAATTGCCATCAGAATTTGTCAATATACTTTGGGATCACAGATGCTATATCATAATAAAACAATTAGATTAATAAAAAGATCCCTGAGCGCCCAGCCAGCATTGTGCAGAGGATTTCTACTATGGAAATATTTAGGTGACGTTGACTCACTATGGCAGCCTCCTTTACAGAGAATAATGAAGACATGAGCTGCAGGAAATAACACAAGTCCCTGAACCACCTGGGCTTCACAGCCAGAACCCCTCAGTTTCTGGTAGAATTAGGAGTCAGTTCTGTTTATTGAAGCATGATCTATCCTGTCCTTGAATTATTGCCCAGAGAAGATATCCCACAAGACTAGATAACCACCAATGTCTTAAAGTGATGCTGCTATCTGGCTTCTCCAAGGTACTGACTGCTCCCTTGCTTGAGCAGAGGACTGGAATCATTACCCATGTGCAATGTTGGGCACACTGACCCATTGTCTTTGAATGCAAATATTTACAGTGCACACAGACACACAAATGTATACGATCAGACCCAGTATGTGTAAAAGACAAAATAATTTCCCACAAGGATCTGAACTAGGCTGGGATCTTGGACATGGCAGTCTCCATCAGGAGCTGCCACAGGTCAGGAAAGCATGGGGATATGTTGCCCTCTCAGGCTCCAGTGCTTGACTGTTTTGAACTGGTCAAGTCCCAAGGACATTAGAGCGAAAAAAAGAACTAATTAAAAGGAAAGTGGGAGCACAGGATTTGGGTATTTACATGTTGTTGAGGTGCTGATCGACAGCCACAAGAGTTTGTCCTGCTTTGGCAGCGATGGTGGTTGCACATAGCAAAGTGGCTGCAATTACTCATCCCACAGAGAGCTGGCCCAAGCTGAGTCTGTACTGACACCTCAAACTAAGGCGTCCCTGAGAACAATCTCCTTTTAAAACAGGTTTTATCAATGCTGTTTCCCAAGAATCCAGGTTTTCTGAAAAGGTTCTGCTGAGCTCTTCATGAAGAAAGCCACACAGGCGAAAACACCCCACACTGAGAATGAAGGCTCCCAAATTCAAATGAGGGCTTAGCCAAACCAAATGCCATTGTCAGCATGTCTCTAGTATACGAGGACTCTTCTCTGGTTTTTGCTTACAATGCAGTCTCTAAGTTCAAAGTACAAGAGGCATTGCTTCCTGCAAATGGTTTGTGATAAGGGCATAAATCTATTTAGCTTAAATGACAAAGCATTTCTAAACCGCTTAGTGGCAGAAGCCATTTTTGTGGGAAAAACACATTTTTAGGGACACTTCTTTGTTACAGCGTTTCCTGGAAATATACTCCAAATTCATGCTCTGGGTCACAGCCAGGGTGCTCTTGTTATCTCAGACCACCTGCCCATGAAAGGGGCTACTTTCATAGCCTCTTCCTCACTTTTCTCACTCTATCCAAAAAAGCACCAAAGCCCAGCCCTTTTGCCTCCAAGGTGATTGTATGGTGTTCCTGATTTCTTCTGTTCCTTGACAACTAAACAGATGTGTGTGCCTAGGTGGAGCCTGGTGCCCCTCCTCACAAATTATGTGGGTGTTTTATATAGATAGATGTAGGCTGAGAAAGGGAGGTTAGGGAACACCCGCCAAGGGCTTCTGATGTCTTTCACATCAGAAATGTCTCCTGCTGCTGAGGTTGGTGCCATTCCCCTGGGTGGTTGTAGGCATCCTCGGTGTGGGTGTGAGGTAGATCCTCGGGACACCTCCATGGCATATGCTACGGGCATTTGGCACTGCCCACGTGTCTTGTCAGAGGACCCGTAACCAATCTCCAGCTACCATGCCAAAAGTGCATCTGAAGCACCCCAGAGTCGATAGGCATGTAAAGAGAAATTAATTTGCTATCAGTTTGAGCTATGAGGATTACAGACTGCTTCCAGGGATGATGCAGTCTATCTTTCCTGGAGGTGCTGCTGCTGATTTCATCAGGGAAAGGTGATACCAGCCACAGCCAAGGGCAAGAGAAAAAGATCCACCAGCATTTTCCCCTAATGTAAAGTGGAAGAAGAAGGTTGAAGCTTACGATGCTGGAAAGACCAGCATTAGACCCAGGCCTCCGGCTCTCTGCTAAGAATGACACAGTGCATGGACAGGATTCAAAACATCATTGTTTGTGCACTGCAGGGAAAATGCCAATCCAGTGCTTTAGGATCATCCCTCCTTCATCAACCGGTTTGTATCAAAGGCTCAATAACTGTGGGAACCAGTAGCCTAGAAAATGTCAGATCATTAAACCTCTGCTTGGTTTCAAAACCCCACTGCCACCAGGGAACAGATGGATTTTGCTTAAAATGCCTTTGAAATATAAGTTGCCATTGAAAGGCTCTGCTCATCTTGGCTCAGTTTTGTGCAGATAATTACGTGCTTCCTCCCCTGCTTTACTGATGAGGTTGATACAGACCATGGTGCTGATCAGTGAGGCTAAGTGGCAAGTTGGGACAGCCACCTCCCAGGTCTGGTGTGACCCTTGTGGCTGGGGACTTCTTCACACATTTATACTTCTTTTATACTCAGAGGTAACTCTGAGTGTCAGATACATACATCCCTGGCTCTTCTGTGAGGAGAAAACAGGATTTTGCCCTGCTGCCATCAGCTGTGTGCAGTTTAAAGGGCAGAGGGAGGCTAAAATGTCTAGTTATCTTACAAGGCTTCTCTCTGCATCAAGACTGATGGCCTTCTTGTGCAGGAGGAGAAGCTGACAGCAGCTTGTCACAAGACCGATGTAACCCTTAGCAGTGACAGCAGAAACAAGGCTTTTCTTTCAAATGTATTTCACAGAAAAATTTGTTTCCACTGCCAGCTTGCAGAGTATGGATCAAGGATGATGTGTGGATCTCTGCGAAGCCACCTGAGTAGACCTTGCATCTGGTGGTAACACGAGTCCATTAGTAGTTTTCAACTGACTTAAATGAAACTCCTTTTTTTTTTTTTTCTGGAGAAAATAATAACAAATCGTGCAGGAAACACCTTTGTGCTGCTACTGAAAACCTGTTTTCTGGAGTGTAGTATAAATATCTGTATTTACCTTTCCTCAAACTCAAAGAACTTATAGCAATTTTCGTCAAATGCTACTAATAAATTACTGTCTGAATGTTAGGAACTTGTCTTGTTCAGGTACCATGTATCCTGCTTAGCCTAAAGTCTCTGTGCAACATATTGGAAAAGGATATTTGTACTGTCCAGTGCTTTGGTTGAAAGATAGACTGTTTACCAGAGCTTATAACTAATTAAATTAGCAGATCTACTGACATAGCCAAGGTTGAAAATTGTGCCTGACACATCCTGCCAGATCTCTGCACATCAAGATTTTGCCTGTGTTCGTGCTGATGACCTCTCCATCACCTGTACAGCGGGTCCAAGGTGTAGAGAACACACTGAGCTGACTAGGCATATTCAGCAGCTGCTCTCCCTACATTGAGCAATATACATTTACCAGGAAATGGGCGTTGCACAACTCTGGGAGTAAGGCTGCCCAACACGGCAACTCAGTAGATTGCCACCCCAAGCAGGAGGGCAATAAACACCCAAAGCAGTCCCTATCACTAACACTGGTAGGGCTGGCAGGCCTGAGGTAGATCTTTAGCTCAAAGGGTGGCTCTCCAAGTTTTTGATGGAAAGAGTAAAGAGTCACCATCCCTGTGAATAACCCAGGAGCTATGACCATCTACCATGACTCAGCCAGTGGAAACATTCTATGATGTCTGTTGCTAGGTATTGCCATGCACATAACTGTAAGGTAACAGCTGTGGTTTTTGGGTACTCTAGGAGAAAGTTTGGATACAGAAGCACTCACCATGAAGTGGATGGTCCACTGGGAAATCACACAGCTGATCTTCCTCTTCCTCATGTTTTCTTTTGCCTTCCAGGTGTTCACGTCCTATGTCCTCACCTAGGAGGGACACCGGGCTGCCTCTAGGTCTTCTGCAGTGAGTTGCCTGCACTCTCTTTGCTCTGGCCATGGGTGTAGCACATGTGGTGGGGAGAAGCATTCTGGCTGAAGGTAAATCACATTCTAACTGACTCCTGCTGCTGGAATCTGTGAAGGACACAGCACAAGACAGCTTTGAGTAAAACAACCACTGTTCAGCACAGCTTCTAGTTTGTGTGAAGAAAGTGGCCTAGATACTGTACCATTCTAACCTGATCATATTTAAAATGGCCTTAATCCTTCTGCGCATCAGTGCCAAGATTACCCCACGTTGCAGGGACAGGATCCTGGTGAATTTGATCACCAAATCTAGCCTGATCTCTGCTTCCTTCCACCCTGAAACTTTCAATGGCCTTTGTAGGAGATTTTTAAAAAGAACTGTAGCAATAAGGAGACATGGCCAAATGATCAAGAAACTTCAGCTTCTCTGTCAGTATCCAAATTAGTGGCTGCCTTTTCTGAAGAACTCAGACATACTGTAGATAGGGAGCTGCTGCGACAATCTGACAGCAAAGATCGCCATGGAATTTGCTGGATGCCAAATGCTTTTAAAAATATAGTCCTTCCTTAAATGTTCCTATAGGAAAATGGGCCAATGAATAGGCTACAGGTCAGTGTCTTCCCTGATTCAGGTCCATCTATCCGTTCTTCTCCATCTGGGCTACCTGTTGCTCTGATTTAGGCATTGGACAATTCTAAAGGCAGCCTTTGCCCAGGCTCTCAACATTTCCCATCTGCCTTTGTGACAGGTGAAACTGGTGATATCTGGGAAGGTACTGACAGCCGACTCATCTTCATGAAAGCACCTGCACACTCTTGTTGACAGGACAAACAGGGGGAGTACATATTGGCCCATTTTCATGAAGTGCAGCTGTAATGTTAACTTAGATTTGAGCATGGAAGTTACAAACAATCTCTAAGGTAACCTCAGCAGTAACCAGTGATGACATGTGCTAGGTCACCTGACTCTGAGTGGTTAGGAAATGGGTCACAGAAGCCATAACCTTTCCTCAGCCACAGCGTTGCCTTATTACTAACAGCATTATCTCAGTGTGTAGCAGGGACACCTCAAAGTTCTTCCAGATTAGTTTTCTGCCCTATGAATATTGTATGAGTTCTTATTCTTCCTTGTAAATGGACCTTGCAAAACCATGCACTGAAATACAACATGCTGGGAAGCTCTGTGGCTGTTGGCATCCCAAGAGAGGTATATCAAATACTCCCACTCTCCACTCTCCTTTTCTATATTAAAGCCCTACCATAAACCCCAATGCTGAATGCTTTATGTGCTGCTTTGGTAGTTGCAGTCAAGGCTTAGGCTTGACTCTTCAGAGACAAGACAACTGTGTCTATGTTGCTTTAATGGCAAATCCAGAATTTGTTCTAGTTTTCCTCCATGCCTGGATTTCTTTGCTTGGAAAGGCAGACTAAGAGGCAACACATAAACATAACGTAGCCATCGGGGAATTTCAGTTCCATGGTTTGCATAACCCTGAGGCAATTGTGACAGTACAGGTTTGTCTGCTATTAGTGCCAAAGAACATTAACCTCTTAATGCTATAATAGACTGCCCTCCTGAGCAGTCACACACATCTACACTCTGGGGTTTGTGGCACTTGTGGTTGGTCACCTCTCCCCTCTCATATCTAAATGGCAGCAGATGTGAACCACTACAGGTGGTACTGGAAGAAACTGCACTTTCTAAGATACAGTTTACATATATGTTTTACATATTTAAGTTGTCAGATCTGGCATCTGCAAAGCATCTAACTTTTTAGACTTGTCAGAAGTTTATTTTCTGAGCAAATAACAAGTTCTGTTTGTAACCTGCTTCGGAGCAACAATAAATATAACATATGGAGAAAAAGTACCCAATTCCAATTCTGCTCTCAGTAAAAGCCCCACAACAGGAATTTTATAGAGGGTTGACATCAACATGAAGAAAACAAAGTTATATAAGAACTCTGAAAATTAACCAAAGCCTCATGTAAATACAGGATGGTTGTTCAAATGTTATCACTAATCTTTGAGTAACCTTCTAAACACAATTACATATGTCCAGCCATGCAGACCTTAAAAATCTAGTATGAGGTCAATGGCTATGTTTGAGGCATATTTTGCAAAATAGGATTAATTTAATTCCTTTAGTATCAACTACATTTGAGTTTTCTATTGAGAAAACTGGTGAGGTTTTGAACAATATTTGTGGGATAAAGGAGAAGGATAGACCTGAAAGCGGTCACTAGCATGGGGCTGGGGTTAAATGATTTTCTCAAGAGCTCAGAGGATATCAGTGTTGGCAAAAGTTCTTAGCCCAGGATTTCTATATCGGTCCCCCAACCCTAAATTAAGGGCTACTTGCACTCCTTTGCTAAATGTGATTCTGGTAAAATTAATATGTTGCAGAACTGATGATGCTTATATCCTACAGTAATGAAAAATGTAAGGGTACACAAGCAAGGTGCTCTTATGGGGAGTTATTAAATCTTTCTAAGAATAACATTAGCATTTTCTAAATTATAGAAGGTTTTTCAGATGTCTTCATCTTTCATATACAACTTCCCTCCCCAAAATTTGTCTCTGACATGCTCACATACCCCAGTGAGAGGGGTAAGAGCACAATTTATGTAAGAGCATGGGTAGAGTAATTACAGACTAGAGCAGGGGGAACAGGGAGAGAATGGAAGACAGTTCAGGGCAGACGGGAAAATGCCAATGTCTTTGTGAATTGGTGAAAAGGAGTTGGACAATCTGTTGTTTGAGATCGAAGAAGTAAATTAGAATGGCATGAACCTTAAAGAGAGGCTGAATAAATCAAGGAAGTTTTCTGGAGATAAAGATTGAAGGTAGATATTACTGAGTTTAATGCACACAGCTGAGAGTTAGGATCCCTAACGTCTAGTCAAGTTTTCTTTGCAACCTTCTCTGGTGCCTGTTGTCCTGACCAACTAAGGAGATTGTTGGAAGTCATGGCTCTTTAGGCAGGGAGCTCTGAAAAATACCTATGAACTCCCTCAGGGAATGTTGTTTTGTTTTGTTTTGTTGTTCCAGGGATGGCAATAATATTTCAGCCTAGCACAATGTGAGATATTTGTTGCTGTCACACATAGAAATGACTTTGACTTGTGGCTCAAAATGGTGTTTTTGGCTTGAATAGTTGTATAAAAAAGGACAGAAAATTTCAGGCAAGACAGTAGGGTTTCACTTTGGAAGTAGTAGGTTATTTCAGGTGCGCTTTTTTTCCCCCCCAGGTGTATCAGGTGTATTGTTTTTCCTTGTAATAGGTGGGGTAATTCAGTGGTATTGGCCAGGTGGTATCTGTTCAGTTAGATTCCTTCAGCTTGTTTCCTCTTTTGTGATAAAGCTGGGTGGAGTGCTACTAAAAGTGAACAATCACAACACTGACATTTGTGTGTGAAGCAGTAGTTGTATTATTAATTTGCATATCCTTAACATAATGGAGCATAACACAGGCAGAATGACAAAATTACTGTATCTGTTACTGCTTTTACTATTAATTTCTCATCCCAAGCTTTTCCTGACTTGATAAAGAACCTCCTGCAGGTGAAACCTCACTGGTAGAAACATCATTTCAGATGTACTTTCAAGTACATTGAAATCATATTCCCAGGAATTTCAGAAGAATTATTTTTTTCTGAAATAGGCCTGATATTCTTCTCTGGTTTAAATGAAAGAGTTGGAACTAGGGAGGAGATCAGCCCTTGCTAAGTGTTTGTTTGTGTCCCTTGCAAAGGCCATGGTTTCCCCTTCTAGGTATTCTGAAAAAAGAATGAGAGGAAAAGCATAGACTGCATACTAAAATGTCTCCTTGTTCGTTATTTGTTTTTTTAACTTGGTAAGAGTCTTTCAAAGATTTCAGTAGGCTTCAACAGCTGGAGCTCCAGGTCGTCCAGTAGTTTTGCTTGTACAGTGAACTCCCCAATGGCTAATACTGCAACTAGGAAGCCAAATGCTTCAGAGAAGACTGAACACTCCTAACTCCAAGTCCCACTGGAATTACACTCACAAAAACATGTGAACTTAGGAGTCAGGCCCAGAGATGTCCTCATACATGATCAAGTCCTGCCCTAGCTTTCTATGAGAGGCTGGCACTATACATCACAACGTCATTTTTGTCAGAGACTCATGGAATATTTTAAGTTAGAATCAACTTCTAGAAATCATCTGGTCCAGCATCCATGAGTTTTCTTGGGAAGCTTTGTCTATGCCCCTCATTTAGAATCATAGGCTGGAAAAGATCTCTAACATTAGAGTCTGAACATTAGACCACTGAGTCCAACCATTTCTGAAATTCTGCATCTTATGTTTCTCTGGTCCTACCCATCTCCTCGGCTCATAATGCTAGATTTAGACTTTAGGTGTGGTCTTGGTACATAGACTGTCTACATCAGATGATGATTCTTTGGCCTCAGTATTTAACTTATGGTAGCCCTGAGTATGTATGTAGTGCCATATGGATCTCATATGCCATATGGATCTTCCTTCCTTTCATATAGAAAGATCATGGCTTTGGTCAGATACATACCACAGGGGATGTAGAAAATGTTCTTAAAATCCAAAGTAAGATATAACTCAGCCCTGACCTTTAGTACTTCCTTCTCTGCTGCAACTGAACTGTTATGAGAAAGCAGTTGGATTTGTGTTCCATCTGGAATTTCCAACAAATTCCTTAGCTCATTTCAGTTCCCTGACCTTGGCCAGCACTATTTACACAAGTTGTTTAATGCCAGTGTTATATGGTATTAAGTTAAACAACTTTGATGAAATACCACAATTATCCCAAGATGTACAGCAGAGGGTATTGAACTTCTGAAATAAATAAAACTTACCTGAATAAATCACATTTCTGTTCAGAAAGCAAAGGGTAATAGCTTAGGTATCTCTTTGGTGTTAGTAAGAAACAGTGAAAAAGTTTCTCTTTCATTCTCTTTTTTAAACATCCATGATCAATTGCAAAAGCAAAGTATAATATTTTTTAAGATTTCTACATCTTTCCTATTTTCTCACCTCCAGTAACAGTGAAGTGAATCTTCAAGTGTGTATACTGTTTTCATTAGTTAACATTTTACATTGTCTTAAGTATTTTAATCCACCCTTGCTTTCTAGCAGGGATGAGAAGAGTCATTATATTCTCTTGGTACAGCTAAGTCTCTCTCTGTCTAAGTGATGAAGCAAAGTTAAAGGCAAGGACTGGTCGTTCTGTCTACATTGCTTTCAAGGTGAAAAACTGACTGTATGCTCAGGTGGAGCCATTTGGGTTGAGGCTGCACTGGAAAGCAGTAATACAATCCTAGGAATCCAGTATGTCCTGCATACAGATTTGTCAGACCTCATGCTTGGAGTGGCGCACTTAGCCAAGACACTCAGTGGAACTAAGCTTCAACATATTGATTGTGAAACAGACTTAATATAAAATGTCCTGTCTCTGCTGTGCTTCTCTGTTCCCACAGAAGAGTCTCATGTAGTTAAAATGCAGTTCTGTGGTTCCTGTTATGAACAAACACTGACTTAATTTTCAGTGGTGTTAGCTGTCTCACTTTGGATCCAGCAGTAGAAAGTGACTGCCATGGGCCCTCAAGAAAGGACTTTCAGCTCACAAAAACACACTCCCAGAGTGAACACCAGCACTTCTCTGCCTTCAAAATGCTCCTTTGGAACACAAGCCCCACTGCATTTGCACCAACATCAGCTTGTCCTTGTCCACCCTACAAACTACCAAGCTCTTGCTTGAATGAGGACCAGTTGTCCAGTTCCAGTCTGCAAAGGCAGCTTTAGGAAACCTCTAAGAACTCAAGTCCTCCAACAGTACCAGAAACAGCCAAGCAACACTTGCCTTGGCCTTCAACAATCTTGTCTATCTTTGAAACCGCTCTTTCTTTGAGCAGGAGGCTGTACCTCAGATGACCTTGAGAAGTTCCATCCAACGTCAATTACCCTATGGTTCTGTGAAAAATCAGCAGCATGCTATCACTTTTCCCCATACATAGTTTTCCATGGAAAGCTGCAGTTACTGGCACAAAGGCAGCAGTCAGATACTCAGCCCCAATGCCTGGGGCTTCCCCAGCTGTGAGATGCGTGGTGGGCTGACTGTCCCACAGTCAAGAGACAAGTCTGTACAGAGTAAATTAAGTTATCCTGTGTCAGAGATGAACAAAAAATCTTGTGCAAGCATGGTGGTTTTAGGGACCTTGAGTCCAACCAGTGACTAATGTTACAAGAGTGAGTAGTTTTCTTCCCCACTTAGGTCTTGTTTGTTTTCCAGTCCAGGTCAGTATCCAGTTTAGACATAAAAGAAGATGAAACTATGTGAATAGATAATAGTTAGTTGGACTGCCAGGTTTTTGGAAAAAGACTCTCTCCCTTACTAATGGGTGGTTCATCCAGCGTCCTGGGAAATGGGGTGCTGAGCCATGAAAAGACCTGTATTACAGAAAATGAAGTGTAGCATTAAGCTTTGTTGAAAGCATTTGAGTGAGAGGTGAGTGAAAATTTTCTGTAAAAACTACAGGTAATTTTTATTTAAGTAGGTGTGTTTGCATACATAAAACATATCCTTTTCATGGAAGATGTAGATTAAAAAAGAAGAAGAAATATTAAATCCAGAAAATGTTGGGCATTAGTATTTGTTTAAGGAAAAAAAAGAGACTCTCTCTTTTTGACTATTTCAGTGGGGGGTAAAAGTTCCCTCAAGGCCAATGTAACTAAACTGAAAAAACTGAAGTCAGAAAGGCTAATGTAATTGCTCCTTTGCTCAGATCAAAGTCATAAAAGTTTTCTAGTAGCTGCTTTTATTTAGTTCATGAAAGAACCTAGTGTCCATGATGATAAGCAGAAATTATTAACCATATGTGCTTTCCCTTTTCTTGTTCCAGCAACTGAGTTCTAAAACTGCTTAGCTACCATTACCCTTACAGACTTTTTCTCCTGCTCGGGGTGAGTGGCCAGATTTATCAGAAAAGAGTGCCGATATGAGATTTGGTTGTAATTCCAGAAAACAGTCAACTCTTGATATAAGTGAAACTCCAAAAATTCCGTTAAGTTTCAGCAGTTTTAGGCTAGTTTCATGAGTTTGAATACTTGTCCTTCCCTATGACAGGCATTTATTTGTCTATTTTTTTAATAACATGAGTATTGCTTTTTCAAGTGAAAGGCACGAGGATGTTGTATTTGTTTACAACAAGCACTTCTTCCTGTTACTGGAGACAGCTACCTGCAATAGCTGTTCAGGTTGCATAGTCACCTCTCCAGTGGCAGTGGGGCTTTACAATGCACAAAACCACAGAGCCAAGTCTACTGCGAGGTTGAAAGCAAATTATTTTAAAAAGATTATTTCTGTATATGTAATGAATGATTTGTACCTGATTAGGGAAATCTCAGATTCCTACAAAAGCTAAAGAATAAAAATTCTACATAATCAAATGCGACAGCTCTAGAGGTCAGTAAGAAAGGAGAATTTTCATTAAGTGTTATAACTGGTACTTACCAGCAGCCAGTGGTGACCCTGCTTTTAAGGATGGAGGTCTCTCAGCGTAGTTCCTTCTCTTCCTGGTTTCACTGCTTGTGAAACTGGCAGTGCTGGCAGAAGGTTTCTTTAAGATTTCCTCAATGGAAAAGGACAGGCTGGGCTTCCCCTGGCCAGCACACATCCGGGGGTCCATCATATTCCTGCCAAATTGGCCGTGGGGCAGAGAGTCCTCTCCTGCTCTCCTGGCTCTCAGAGCACCCTGAGGAACATGCAGCTGGGACGGTGTGTGTCTCTCCCCACCCATGCCCAGATGACCTGCCAGAGCACGGGGAGGAGAAACAAAGGCGACCCAGAAGTAAGCACACAAGCCTGCTCCTCTCTGCTAATCAACCTGGAACCAAGACCTGTGCTCCTGTGTCTAGGGAAGACAGCATCAGAAGTGGGGGTTAAAAGTCGTACCAACCCCACCCACTGCCAAGCATTCCCCCTGCCACTCAGATTTACGGAGCTCTGAGCAATCGCGTGGCCATTCCAGGAGGAGGTGTGCTCCTTGCAGACACAGGTGAAAAATGCTCTGGGAAGGATTGCTTCTTGCTGGTAAATCCTGTCTGTGGGGCAGTTATCTTCCTTTTATGCTTCCTTTTATGCAGGCTGAAACCTGCAAAAAGCCCACTGGATTTGTACTGTGATAAAGTTAAGAAATAATTGGCATGACAAATATTTATTGCTTGTGTCACTTACTAGCTAGAGAGACAACCTGTAAACTTCTCTTGCATACGACTAGGTGTCACATATGAAAACCTCCCTACTAGAATTTCCCAGGTTATTCTTCAGCCATCTCTCCCAGCCATCAGCTTTGGTTCAGATTCTCTTTTCTTCTACTTTGGAAACCCTTTGAACTTTCCAAGCAGGTGCTTTTCAACATCATCTGATCTTATCAGTCAAAAAGAGAAAAAGAGATGGCCCTTGCAACATGTGTAGGAATCAGAATTAATGCCCTCCACCTCCCACCTATGCAGATAAAAGATCATTTTATTTCCATCCAGAGCTATGAGGTAAGCCAGCTTGATAAGCATCCCATCACTTGCTTATGCCTCCCAATTAGGCATCCACTGCAGGGGGAGAAGATTTCCTGGTTAATGCAGGTGAATACCAGTGATTCCTCTCCTGAGTCACTTCTATCTTCTCGTTCATTTTTATTTTGAGAAGAATGTGTAGTAAGATACACTCCTGTTCTTTCCCTCTTCCTCCCCCCAGTGGTTTTTTTGCCTTCTTTGGGGATTGCCCCTCACCTTTTAAATTGCTAAAGTTGTTTCTCTCTTTCCTGCTGGTTCTCCTCTGCACCTTCCTTATCGGGCTCTTATAATTGTATTGGCAGGCCCTGCCTTATTTGTCCAGTGAACTGACAATTCTTGAACTGATATCCCATCATATGACCTTTTCATGGAGTGGAGACCAAAATTACTGTGTAACCAGGGGGCAATAAACCACACCTGATAAGATGAAAGGCTTTCGGCTTTTTCCAGATTCTAAATACTGGAAAAACAGTGGGGGTGGTGGGGAAAAGAACAATGGAAGAGGTTAAGAATGGTGCAGCCAGTCGTGGTGAAGAATATTTAATTATCTGATTTTACTAATCAAGCTTCTCCACAGGCGACAGGGTAGACAAGTGAGTGTCTTTAAAAACGATGACACTCGTGGGGTAGAGTGGGAAGCATTTGTCTTTGTTTCTTTTGCATCCCTCTGTCGTTTTTATGAAGGGGAATCCTGTGCCTTCCTGGTTGAGTGATGAGGTGGCAGCTGTTTGTGTGGGTGCAAAAGGTCTTATGGCCCTCTCCATTAAGCAGGGAGCACCTTCTTGTTTCAACAAATGCCTCTTTGGCCAAGCTTTGTCCTCTCCAGCTTTGCTGCTGGTGTCTGTAATCCTGGCTGGACACATGAAAAGGGATGTCTTCCCCTTCTTTGCTTAGGCAGAATGAGAGAGTGGGTAACTTATGGGATGAGAAGAGGTAAGTGTGCTATCTGTATAGAGAGGGAAGGGAAAGAAAGGTGCTCTGAATCTACACCCTGGATTAAAGCTGCCTATTTAATAATAGGGTTCCCCTTTTTTCCTTGTGATTCCTGATTCAAAGCCCATTAAAAAGCCCAAGGAGAAACCTAGTATATTCTCTTGCAAATGCCTTACTTTCCCCACTGTGTTTGCCTGAGGCACTAAAAAGGGAGCCACTCTTCTTGGTTTTACTGGCCCTCCTACAGAGCAAGGGCTTCAAATCTTACTCACTTCTCAGATGTCTCAAGAGTCCTTGACCCAGCCTTCAGTGTATTAATTTAGTATATATGACAATGTCTGAACTCCCTGATGTTTACCGTGCTACCTTTTACCTGGAAGTTTCAGGGATAGGAAAACTAGCTCTGGGGACCTCTGTTTCTCGAGTCTCTCTGCTGTCCACTTTTCCAAAGGTGCAAGAGAGAAGCACATGGATTTGTCTGCTTTGGTTGTTAAATAAAGAAAGGCCACATTTTCCTTTGCAGTGAAAAGCTTTGGCTTTGGTTTGTTATTAAAACTTATGTGTTTAAGAGGCTAATTTCCTACTGCAGAGGGAGGAGGAGGAGGAGGATTTGACAAGAAAGTCTGATAGGTCCCAGCACTCCTAATGAGATGACTCATATCTTTGGGTAAATTAGCTGGGTAAATTAGCCTAGAGAGTCCCAGGGCAAAAAATACACCTCCTATCCCTCGTCCTTGCCCCAGCTCCACTTTTGCTGTGTTAAACAGACACTGTTTTCAAAGGAAGAAAGGTAGCCTTCTGGCAGAAATATATGTGCTTTCATGTTGAAAAATTTCTGAAGTAAAGAGAGTTGAGACAGACAGACCCCAAGTTTTCATCTCAGTGAAATACTTTTAATCAATGGTCACACTGGCAACACACAGCCAGCAAAGCCAGTATATCCCCATATTCAGAGTGTGTGCGCTGCCTGTCTCCACTGCCACCAACTTGCTCTGGGCAGGCACCTGCTGAGACAATGCTGTAGTCCCATGTCACAAAATCAAATTGTGCATGTTTGTATAACTATTCTGTCTCAGTCTGCAACTTTAAACCTCCCTGCTGCTCGCAGCGACAAGTTGATTCTCTCTGCATGTTTAAATTAGATGCTCACATGCAAATTTACAACTTGAAAGCATCCTTGTGAAGGCTTTATTTTTGTTCTGTCTTATTATATTGTTCTTTTTTATTAAAACTGAAGGCAATGTCAACCGAGAAATATATTTTTCTTTTTCTGTATGGGAAGACAAAACAAGCCCTAAAGTGGGAAACAGGATAAATAAACAGGATGAACTCTTGAAAGGCGATTTGAAAACAGCAGTGTGAGGTTGCAGAAATCCCATGTTTTGTGTACAGAACTTCTCCAGAAAAAAATGTAGTTATGATATCAAAATGTTTAAGTAGTACCAAAAGACATGAATCTTTTAGTATCTTTAATACAAAAATAGAAAAATAGTGATAAACACTATTTCATTAACTAAAAAAAAATTAAATACTGTCTTTAGAATGACTGCTAGTTTGGAATTTCTTTGCTTTGTATTATGCTAAAATAAAGATGAGTGGCAAAAAATAGATGCTTGAAATGCAAATGAACATTTTGCACATTAAAATAGTTCAGCTGACCCCCTTTTTCAAATGACTGAGTTGCTGAAATGTAACAAATTATTTATGTTCAAAACAAGAAATTATTTACTTTTAAATTACCAGAGAATGAAGAAGTTATTTTTCTGCCAAGTACTAATATGATGGCTTTTGTATGGTTGTTTGGGGATATTTTTATATTTCTGCTTGACCTGGAAATGCAGATGACTCTCATTTGTTACAATTATTGTGCTACCCGTCTAATTTAGTCTATAAATTCCTTGAGGCAGGAAACACATCTTCCTCTGGGACTGATGAGCTCTGAAGGCAACTCTGTACAGGAGAAGGGAGCTGTCTAGAACAAAATCATGCTGTGTTGATTTTCTCAGCTTATCCTCTCTGTGCCAAACAAACCTTTCACAAAGCCTCTGAGATTTTTAAAATATGGTGAAAAACCCTGGATGAGTAGACTTGAAATCAACTTGGGATCAATACGTTGGAGTTTTTTGTCCTGTATTGCCTATCTCAAATTTGAAGAACTGCGTTTATGCTGTCAGTCATGGAGCAGGACCGTTCCTGCCCCACTGGTCTCTTCCCCTACACAAAGACAATAACAGGATGATATTCCACCTGGTGCCTCTGAAGCACCTCCTTTAATTCCCCATTCTCAAATGTGGCTCAGAGTCGTGGCTGTGCAGTGTTTATGCACAGTGTGGATGCTGCAGCTCACAACACCTCATCTCCGAGGGCTTGTGCTCAGTCAGCTGTTCAGAGCAAGTCAACGAGCTCGGGCAGTCAGAGACACCGGCGGTTGTCAGTGACAGCGCGGCTGCAAATTGCCCATAACACCTCTGGATCCTCACGTCCCTGTAGGTTGTCTTCCATCCTTTATGCCTTAGTGGACTCTAACAATCTGCCCAGTGACATCTGAACTGCTCTGGTCTTCTCAGAGTTCAACAGCTGGCAGTGATCTAGCATAAAGCCCACGCAGCCTGCTCCTGGAGTCCCTTTCACCTCAGATTTATTAGCCCCGTTGTCTCTCCAGATTTCTCAACAAGCTCATAAATTAGAAACATTAATAAAAGGGATACTGTAGGCTTAAACTGATAACATTTATTGTGATTTTCTTATGGCACAGTTATTATCAATTGACATTTAAAATGGCATCATAATCCATCAGGGTGAAATCAGCTGAGAAAAATATTTCTCCCAAGTCAAAAATAATAACAGCAGCAGCAGGATTGCAGGAGAGGAAGGACACAAACAGTTTGAGCCCAGGTCATTGATTTCATACTTTGGAGGTGTTTTTTAGCAACTTCATCCTCTGTTTAATCCATTCTTGTATTTCATAATGCTTCTTCTCCCCTGCTGGGCCCCTCACGCCCTTTGTAGAGCTTTTTCTATAAAAAATCTTTAGTTAATCCATGATGGGGAGCATTTTGCTTAGAACAGAGCAGGAGCTGTTATACGTGGGAAGGGCTGGAGAGATCAAAGGTTGTCCTTTTCATAACAATTCAGGCCTCTCTGAGCAGCAATTGCCATGGAGAACTGTCCAGCATGGCTATAAAGT